ATGTATTAGCTATGAGAGTGAATATAACACGTCTGAAAAGAATGAGAATCCATGTGAATCACTTTGAAGTGAGCATGTCATAGACAATAGCTCTTCATGCAATTACAGTCGATTGCAATAATGATGCTCATTAACTCAATTGTAGCTGGTAATCTGGATCTTCCAAGAGATGAAGCAAATACCGTTTTGTGAAACAGGCTCTCATTCACAGTTTAGATAACTTCTTAAACAACCTCGGAATAATTATTCGCGGAATGTTCGAAAAAAATCACTCACCTCAGAAGTCATAAACGGCCATAAAAACAATGAACGTTGTGTTCTGTATGCGATTATCAAACAAAACAGACATACTGCTTCCAGCACTTCAATGAACATTTGCCATGGTGTCGTTATTGAATACCTGAAGAAAACTGTGTCATTTCTGCAATTGATTGAGTAAAAATGATAATAGATATTCAAAATAGAGACGAAATGAATACTGTTGATCAGAGACTGATGGCTAAAATTGTTTATTGTGATTCACTCACACAACTACATGAAATCTTAATATCGAGAAATGAAGATTGTAAAGATTCGTAATTCCACACCATTTTGTAAAACTGTAACTTGTAAAGTACGAGACTGTTAGGTCAGAGTTAAGCAGCGATTTCGTAATACAGATAATGCAAATGTCGGCTATCGTCAAACACTGTGCATTTTTTCGAGGGAAACTCCCTGTTTCGAGGATTATTTATCGCCTTCTCGTTGAATTTTTTCTAACCATATCATCGTCAAGAATTGGAGTAATGTGACTATGATCATCCTTGAACTTTTGATCTAGATTATTATGAAAATATCATGTCACGGATTCATAAATTAAAAATACATCACATTTAGGCAATCAGTGCGTTGAAACGTGATCCATAAGATTATTCTGCACTGGTATTCTTCACAAGAGCATGGTTTCAGGTTTGCAAGAATATGATACACATTGCTCTGATAATGACGATCTACATGTTCTGCACATAGAAACCCCATTCAGAAGTTGTTTTACAGAAATATTTATTTATGGCTATTAACATGTTTGTCTTTAGCTATTCACAGTCCGCTAGCGAGCGAACATCATGCGGAGTAATCATTCTCAGACATTTTTTGAATATATCAGCAGATCATGCTTTCGAACACGGTCAATAGATATTGTCTAAAGTGAAAGGTGAAGTGAGAGAGTTCAGCAACAGATTAAATAAAATTACCTGCCCCTAACGAAAACGATAACTTCCAACAATTCCAATACTGCGACGATACATATTATACCGAGAAGACCGTTCTGAAAACTGAATAAGTTCGGATGAACCTCGAGTGCATAAAGAAAACGGTAAGGGGACCCTGAAACATTTTACTCGGTAAAGGAAGTGGTTGTATCGAGCGGAATTCTGAAATGTTACTCAACGCGTGAGAATTTCGAGCTTGGAGACGTGAAAAAAAGACTCTTTTGCAAACGAAAACCTTGAGGACGTCGACTGAAAACCTTGCAAAATGTGCGAAAAGCGTCCAGGACACCTAGTAGAGTTCTGCCCTGATCTACTCGAAATGGGCTTACGCTCAGATTTCGCCTTATTGTTAGGAAGATGAGGCAAAACTGTGCTCGATAGCCCATAGGTATCAAGTGCACATTTTTGGCTGGCCAAAAATTCTTGTCATCCACTCACCTTCACGTGAATTCGCCCCAAGCAGCAATAATATCTGGGATTCACGATTGCCCTTGTAGGCATATACAAACTCAGACGATTGAGCATCTCCGGCTCTTACTCTCGAAAGCCCAGTGGTCACTCTGCAGTTCGATGTTCGATGTAAGCGTTCGAATAATTTGCTTTGCACTGCTGAAATAAATGCATTGTTCAAATACGCCGCGAGTTATTAGTATCATCGATGTGTGTATATCGAGACAATTTCCGTGCTGTCACAACCATATTGATAATGTCAATACTATCGATGGGTGTCAATTGATTAGTGTAATCAGTGATCTTTGCTAAAAGTAGCATTCATAAGAACACCACATTATATTGGGCAACTTCATACAACAAAAATTGTTAGCGAGACCAACATTCGAGCAAAATTACAAGTTACAATATGGATTCGTAAACGAGGCACACTGAAAACGTCGAGCATCGTATATTGATCAATCGTTCACAAATTGATTCGATGATGTTTACCAAACACTTAAGAAACAGCTATGTTTAAAGACAACTGCCTTGTAACTGATAAGGCTTATCAGTGCATAGAATTTTACGGCATCAAAGCAGACAAACTAAACTTTTGAAGCATATGAATGTTCCCATTCGTAAATGAAGTAGAGGTGTTTAAAATTCCACACAAAAATTTATTCTTCAGTCATTTATTTAATTGCTCGTCGTCATCTGGATTTAAATCTTCTCTTAGAATCATTCCCCTAATACACTTTCATCATTCACCTGTTGTAAACAAAACCAACGAAGAGCTTCAAACNTAGTAAGCGGGTTAGTCAGTGAAATAATTTCAATTCTGAGCCCACATATGTGATCTTCTGAATTATCACTATTTGTGGTGATCTGCTTATCTTGCGGCCATTCTGTGCATTCAGCACTCGAACTTACCACCATTTCTCAGAAACCTCTTCAGAAGTCGCTCAAAAGATGAATTCATTACACACCCATAGTGTTGTTCAGTAAGTCTTACGCTTCCTATGACTATGTTGGTGAATTGCATCGCTTTTACTGCTATGCTAGAGTGAATCAAAGAAACTGTTGGTGCTGTTCGCAGTTTGCGCATAAAAGTGAAGAAATTTCAGCAAAAGTGTAGGACACAACTCGAACAAACGATTGTAATGCTCAGTAATATAATGTACATCGTTGAACATTGAGAACACTTAACAAATTAAGTTGATTTCATAGACTACAATCGAACTGCTGCATAAAATTATCGTCAATGATCATTAGGGTCATGCACACAGACACACACACAAATGTTGTAATGTTTTTTTGCGACAACAACAACAACAAAACAAAGCCAACGTTTTTAGTGTTAAAAAAGAAACAAACTTGCAGATAAAATATCCAATCGGTGGAATATGCAGAGGAAAATTTCAGAGGAGTAGTTTCAGAAGCGTATGAGAGGGAAACATACGAGAAACGACGTGTTTTTCGATGGCTATAATTATTCGGCTATAATTAGACGATGTTGTATGGTTCGGGAACACCTCAAGACGAAATTGAAATGGATCAGTTTGCTCGATGAATTTGACGAAACACAAAACTGATTCCAACTCACATGACGATTCAAAATAATTGACATGCAACGAAATTAGCGACTGATAAGCACTGATATTATCACTTCGAGAGTGGATAAAAAGCAATTTCGAACTGTCTTTCAACAACGTTGATGCAGAACTTTTTCTTGGCATCTGCACAAAGCGATAAACATCGATACTGACTGACTTATTGTTCGTTACACCTTTCTCAAGTGATTCACTGCGGAAGATGCCTCGAAATAATCCAAAAATTTCACTTCAAGAACTTCGCAAAATTTCGTTGACAGAACGCATGATTTGCTCATTTGGTTATTTGAAGCAGGAACAGATTCGTGAGAAAGACAGATAGACAAGCACATTGATCATTCCTGATTGGCAGTGAATGTAGCTGTGATATAAGACAATCAAGAAAAGAGTCGATAGATGAATTTTAAAAAAACAACTGAAATCATTTGAAATTTGAATAATTACGGATATATCATATGAGGATTTGTTAAATATGATCGAACAAATGAGACAATTTTATTTCACTGAATATATTCAACAATTATTCTCATCAATCTCATAGAGAAAACCATTGAAAACAGTTATATCTGAGATAATGCCATAAGCATCCGTGGGTGACGAGAGTGCTTTCGGAACAGATTCCATCCATCAATACCCAGGCGCCGTTCGAGGGATCGGGCAGTGATCACATGATCCTCCGCGACCTTTAACGCCAGCTTCGCCTTGATCTCCGGGTGGTCCATCGTTTCCGGGCGGTCCATCGCGTCCAGGATCTCCTTCGGGACCTTCGGGACCAACTGGGCCGGGTTTGCCATCTTCGCCTCTCTCTCCATCTGGCCCACGCACACCTGGTGGACCTGGTGGTCCTGGAGGACCAACTATACCTTCAACCTGAAAGTATTTAGATTTGATTCATCTGAAACGGAGGCGACATAGTATGATTTGTAGAAGTCAAATAAAAACTATATTATAGTCAGGCTGTTAACCACCTCACTCACGATTCCAGGCTCGCCTTGCGGTCCTCTTTGTCCGGGTGCTCCAGGCGGCCCAGGTGGTCCTTGTGGTCCTGGAGCTCCAGTAGCACCGGGATTGCCATTCAGACCTGGCTCGCCCCGCTCACCAGGACGTCCTCTCGGTCCTTTAGGTCCATGCCTTCCTGGTGGTCCAGCAGGTGCTGCAACAAAACTTCGACTGACTTCAAGTACCAACGAGAAATGAACTTTCTGTTAAAGTAGTCAAGCGAACATAATTCGTGGTTCCATTTCAAGCAGTTCCTTGCGAGCATTAGCACCCAGAGATCAAATACAGGGTTACATCAATCTCCAATCATTTACTCTACAAAACTGTTTGTGGAGTATCACGTTCGAGTCATTCGTATACTTCACTCTCAGGAATATTTTGAATAACACCTCAAGACTCTAATTGCAATAATCAACGCACTACTGATATCCTTCGAAATGATTTTATTGATATTTCGCGACCTTTGCCTAGAGCAGTGGTTCTCACGTTTGAATGCTTCATTATCCCTTTTGATGATATGGTAGGCCGCTGTTACCCTCTAAAGGTGAAATATGAATTCATGAGACCTCTTGGAAGATCCAAGAATGCTCCAGATTATCAGCTACATTTGAGTTAATGAGCATCATTATTGCAATCGATTATGATTGCATGACGAGCTATTGTCTGTGACACGCTCACTTCTAACTGTTTTGCATGGATTCTCATTCTTTTCAGANTGAGAGCGATTGTAACAGCACGGAAAAGAATGAAAACCCGGTTAAAACAGTATTTAGAAGACAAATGGATGTAATTTCAATGTTGCCATTAACTAACCGCATTTACATATCCGAGTTTAAAAAACACCATCTCAATGATGTTCTATCCTAGCATGACAATTGCACAAAATACTAATTTCCCGACCTTCTGCATTACCCCTTGACACGTCCAAATCCCCTAAATGGGTAATTCCATCCCCTATGAGTACCACTGGCCTAGAGCATGCCTATACAATCATTGAAATGCACACTTGTTTCCCGATTAAATATTCATTAAACGAAAACTGTTCATTCCTACCTACCTTCAGGGCATTCAAAGCAGAAGTCTTCTGGCTTTGGAAGCTCAGTTGGTTCGGCATCTCGTCCGTCTTTACCGTTGATTCCCGGTTCACCGTCCTTTCCATCTCGACCATCAATACCCGGAGGACCAGGCGGACCAGCCGGTCCAATCTTACACGCACATGACGGATCACGCACTTGTCGTACATATCGCGTTCTTGCTGCGAACGATTCATAGCCACTACTACTTCGTTTGACGCGATCTGAAATTGCACAAACTTTGATTGATATTCGACCGAACACGATTAGAAAACTTCAGTCATCATCACGGTCAGTGTCATGTTCGAGACTTAATTAACGAGGCACTGAATCTGTCAAAAACTACGATGGTACTCGAATGAAGAAATCGGATCAACAACCTTGACTGGCTTTTTGAGATGTGGTCGTACCGATTAGGAAAGCTTCCATGCCTGTTTGAGGTTTCAGTCTTTCAACAACACCTTTGTGAGCTTGCGCTCTTGCGAATTGTTGCCACATGGTGCCGGTTGTCGATTTACAATAATCAGCTTCCAGCTGCAATATTGAATAACAATCTCAAAATAAATCTCTCTGAAAAATTTCGTAGGTGCATTCAAACAAACTTATTGTTTCCAACAGTTACAATTTCAGTGTTCTTTGCTCCCCAATAATTCTCAACAAGACGATTGCAAGGTATTGTTTCCTGTCCTCAAACAGTACTTTCTGTGATCTTCCCACTATTTTCTCATCCAATGATTTCCCGAAGAATCTGTACCCTCGAATAATCGAAACTGTAATAATNTGTATGCATATAGACATATATCAATCATATTGCTTTTTAACAATAGGCAATTGAGTGTCATTTTTTTGGTGCACTGCGTTTCACTTTCCAACTGTGACTGACTGCGGAATTTCCGTACGATGTTGAGTGTCATTTCAGAAAACGATGCTATCATTGGACTGATGCATGGCTACATCGTTATTCGCCGTGGAATTGTTTCTGTGAAGGACGCGTCATTCGCTTCTTCACTGAATTAAGGTCATTTTAGTGACAATTTGACGACGCAAACCAGACCGCTGATTGAAAACAAGTTTTTGCGGCGTAAAGCAATTCAAATTAGAATGAAGTTGACTTGAGTTGGACCGACCAAATAAGCATTGAACACACAGATTTCCCAAGTATTTCTCATTATGCGTCGTTCAAATTTGCGATCACTTACAAACATTCAGCATGTGTATGCAATAGGACTCACCCAACCTGAGCAACAAGTGCGAAGGATCCGAAATCCGCTCAATCTTGACGTGTATTTTGATTCAACAATACTAGAAGCTTCTATGTGAAGAAGTTTGCTTTCATGTGAAAAATTCACT